CAATATATATAAAATTTACTATTTTAAATTTGTTACATTTTGAAGTTTCAAAAATTATGAGCGGTAGTTTTTTTTTAATAGAAATATTCATTTCATTTATGAAATCTGCACTAATGGCAAAAACTATATCATCAAAGATATCATAGAAATAACAGATCTAAAAGATCTGCAGATACACTAGTTCTAGGAAAATTATAAATATTACATTGTAAATTTCTATACTGTTTTAAATGATGTCAATCTCTTTGAATTCATGTCAATCTTAGGTCACCTTTTTGTCACGGGTCCGGTAGTGATGGAGGTCTGGGGCGTCTTCCAAAGGAGGTTTGGTATTTTGGAGCCTCAACCATCTTCAGTGTCAGGGGTGGTTTCATTGTGGTTTGGCTCGAGTCCCGTGATATCGCGGGGACACATTAGGACGATCGTTCCCATTCTAATCTTTTGGTTCATATGGAAGTCCAGGAACAGAGCGCGGTTTGATGGCGTATGTCTTGAAGCTCGCGGGGTAGTTTCCTCGATTGCTAGTTTCGTGGAACAGCTGGGATTGGCGAACAAGCTCTCGAAGCGTCTTTTTAGGGGCGATCATGAGGATCCATGGGCACGGCTGGGGGTCTGCTTGGCACGTCACATTGAGGTGACTGTGGTCTCCTAGAAACGGCCGCCGCAGTTTTGCGTCAAATTGAACACTGATGGCAGTGTCACCCAAAATCGGGCTTATGGGGGTAGGTTGCTCCGAGACTCTGATGGCCGCCTACTTTTTGCTTTTCACAAGGAATTTGAAGACACAGATGTGTTGGGGGCGGAAAGCTTGGCGTTGTTGCATGGCCTTCGGTTGTGCACAGGGTTGGTAACGGGATCTTTACTGGTGGAGGTGGATTCTGAGAGTCTGGTTCACCTATTGCAGGCAGGGGGTGTGTCGAAGTGGCCGTTGTGTAACACATTAAGGAACATAAGTGGTCTCCTTGTTTCATTGTCGGCGTCCATTTCGCATGTGGTAAGAGAGGCAAACTCTGCGGCAGACAATCTAGCGGGCCTGCGCCTTGCGTCGGAGCTATATTGCACTTCACATACTCAACTTCTGGGACAGATAAGGGCATCGATAGGCTTAGATAGTAGAGAATTCCCTTTTCCACGTTGCCGGAGTGTAAGGGGCTAGCTCCCCATCGAGCGTTCTTTAGCAGACTAGGTCCCCTCTGTAATTCCTCTCATTAATAAATCAGGGGCTGGCATCCCCACCCCGTGGACGGGGCTTTGCCATTAAAAATAAAATAAAATAAAATAAAAAATAAAAAATGAACATTTATAAATGTCTTCTCCTACCAAATCTACTATTTAAATGTTTCAAGCTTAAACATCAAATTGAGGTTTGACAAAATAAACTCAGAAATTGTGGATCTAACAAACATATTTAAAAGGACTGAGATTTGATAAAGAAAAATGAATAAAATAATAAAAACTAATAGAAAATTCTCACAAAAAACCCTAGGGAAAAAGAAACTCTCACTAAAAAATTTCTTGGAGAGAAGAAATCTTTCACTAGGAAACCCTAGGAAAGGACAATTGTGACGACCCCACCTCCCTCTAGGACGTACCCTAAGAGTTAGCAGACCTTCTGTTTAACTCTCGTCAGAACTCGCTCACTCGCATTAACTTGAGAGATAACATTTTCCATTAAACATCCGAACATTCATTCTTGAGTACATCACGAACCAGGTTGGAATATAAATTTGTCCATTAAAAGAAATAAAATACAAGTTTTAACATCGAGATACACATTGGATCTCCCAAAACCATCTATCTCTACTCGACGCTTTTTCCAACCTCAACTCCTATAAGGAATACAAAACTAAGGAGTTGAGCTAGAGCTCAAAAGGGACAAGTAGCCAATAAGCAATACAAAACATTCATCAAACATTGCAATTCAAGTTATCAATTTCAATAAAAGTAATCAATCAATTTAAAGGATACAGATTTGACTCATTCCACCATTCTTTCCCCTTGTACCCTCCAAAATAATAAACAATCTCCAACATTCATTAAACAGTTCAATAATCTCCAACTTCACAGCAAAACTCCCAAGTGGCCATTGTCATCTCCTGATAATTAGGGGCTTTCCAGGAGAGGCTCATCCACATTCAACTGCAGTATAGAATCGGGAGAATTTCTACTATTAGCAATCTAGACTTTTGTCTACAGGACATTAGTCTCGAGGCCAAACCCTTGTGCAGATGTTGATTATCTTGAGTTTTAAATTTTTGTAAAGGAGTTAGCTATAGAAATTGAGGGCAAAAGCATTGAAACTTTATGACAAATTTGTGCATCCGTGCTCACTGTCCTTCCAGCCTCGTTCCTTGCTCTTCACAGTTCCCAACCTAGTTAAGAAGTAACTCTGTATAATGCACTGCCTCTATGTATAATTTGAAAGAGGTTTCGTATTTTATACATTTCAAAAAAAAATTCTAAAAACTAAAATAATAAATGTTCTAAAAAGCTATTCATACTTTTCACATAAGCATATAAACTATGTAATAAATATTTTAATATATCATGTTTTCCGAACTGTACTTTAAGTTTTGAGAAAATTTTAAAATTTGTGTAACAATAGTGACATATTTTCTATTGATAATTACTATAGATTTCTACATATGAACATGATAAAGTGATAAAGTTTTAATAAATTTAATTACTGATACACAAGAATAAGAATTAAAAGTGGTTCAATGTAGTATAATTCTTAAAAATTGTAGTAATTTTACCGATACTTTTACTTTCATAACTTTTAGATATACTCCTACTCTTCACGTATGAATTTATATATGTGATTTTACCGAACTCATATTTTTACATTGCACTTTTAATTGTACTTTTGAACAAAAAAATTTTGTGCGATACAAGTACGTATTATATTTCATTTTATGCATGCCCTTAACATGCCCGATATCTTAGTAACTATGTTCCCAACAAATCAAAGAAGGTAAAATATAAAACAGCACTTTGTATGCTGAGAGGCGTTTCCAAATTTCTTTTTACTCGGGAAAATGTAAGCTAATGTCCACGGATGCGTCAAATGAACGTCTAACTTCACCGTTTAAGTTTATGGAACTAACTTCTTTGCTCCTTGTTATAATTTATATATATATATATATATATATATATATATATATATATATATATATAATACATACTGCTCGATAACGCTCGACGAGCAATCGAGCTTAACTAAAAATGATTGATACTCAGCTCGTTTGAGTAAACGAGCCGATCAAGATCGACTCGAACTCGATCAATGCTGAGCCGAGTCAATCGTTTGATCGATTAACTCGCAAATCGCTCGGTTCATTTGCACCCCTAATTCAAATGCATTTTACGATGAAAACAAAATAAAAATAAAAGGTACTTCAAACTTTTTGCGTAGATGAACTGCGCAGCCATCATCAAGGAATTGCACACAGCCATCATCAAGGAACTCCGGAGGGAAAGGGGAAGAAAGAGGAGGAAATAGTCGGTTTGAAGAATTGTCTGATGCTTTTTAAAAATCATCTGATACGTTGATCTGATGAAGTTCCCTGATTCACAGTCTGTTGTCTCTGGGTTTTGGAGGCAAAGAATTTATTTAACAGCAACAGAATCATTATAATCCATTGCCCTGCCTAGCAATCAGTAAATGGTTTTCAGGAGAGATACCGGGTGGAACATACTTTACAACTTGAGTGTAATCCACGCTCCTTGAGCCTCATCAATCTTCCAGCATCAATGATATCCTTACACACGAATCCCACCACTGCCCTCTCCACAGCGCTCATATTCCTAACAACGTCTCCCACTCCAGACTGACTTAATTCTGCTTCAATCTCTTCCTTCTCATTGAGACTTAGATTCGGCGAGCTGTCAACGACAAAAATGTCCGATCCATGGTCTGCATCAACTGCCCAGCTAGTAAGCCATGTCATTGCATGGAAATCTTCCTTGGTCAAACCGAGATTCAATATGTAGTTCTTATTTATGTAGTGTTTCCACTGACAAAGATGATGACAGCACGTAGCTATAGCGAGACCTCTGAGGAAACAACTGGCTTTCAACTGATCAGCATGATTTTGAGCACTTTGTTCCAATATGCAACACTTCAACGTCATATCTGTTGCCGGCCCACAAAGATGTTTACCAATTGCCAAATAAGGAACCCCTTGCAAAGACTCGACAGCATTCAAGTTCAAATCTTCAATATCGATCCTCAAGCGCTCCAACATCAGGTTCTCTATTTGTCTCAAACTTCGATCAGCCTTAAGCTTGTAGGACTTGCGCTCAACCAAAAGCACTTTTTTAATCCCGTAGCAGTCAGCAAGCAATTGGGTCAGGTAACCCCTCCCAGCTCCAAATTCCACGACAGCAGGAACATCAACATCGCTGCGGTCTAGAGTCCTCGCATCAATTACAGCATCCTCTACACCAGACTTGCGCAACAGTCCAAATTCTTCCAGGTTACCAAGGATGGAGGCCTGCTGCAAAACATGTTTCTCTTGGAAGGGTAACTTCCGATCGATTTGTCTACGAGTAGATCAAACAGCACAAGCTTGAGGAATCTTGAAAGAATCTTGAATGCGGGTATTATCGGAGAGGGATGCATGAATGCTCTTGATTTTGCGGATCAAGTCACAGAATTCAGGGACAGTCTTGTTGTAGATAGCTCGTCTCTTCATATGTGAAGCAGTAGCAGTATGATCTTCATCGATGACTCCGCCGGCATTGATGCCCTTTTGGTAATAGGGTTGGAGGGAGAGAGACTGAGCTTGTTTGAGGGAGGGGCATCTGGTAAGGTGATTTTCAAGATTATGCTGGAGTACGGAGTGAGAAGGGTCAAGGGGGCATTGAATCCATTGGTGATTGGACCTTTGTGTGTGGTTGCCGCAGAAAGAGGAATTAGGGAGAGGAGCATTGGCACAGAGTCTATTCTTCTTTGGGAGCCAAAACTGGCAGCGCTCACTCTTCAAATCGACCATCAATTATTGCTTTTCAAATGCACCATTCTCCGGCGGCGGCGGTCCCGGGAGGGTTTGGTGTGTGTTGCAGTATCGTCTCTGCAGTTTTGGGATATCCATTAGCTCCTTGTCATAAATTACTTTTGGTTTGCATGTTTACAATGTCTGACAAAATCGTGAAACTTTACTTGTTCATTTCACTATTTCAATTAGAATCTATAGACTTGATAATATCTTTTTAATGTTGTAGATCAACATAATATCAAACTTTATATTGATTTCCTTTTGGTTATCTTTTGTCTAAGTACTAATTTTGATTTACAATTTCTTATTTTCTTGCTTACTTTTTTCCCCCTTTTTCACATATTCAGGTTTCCTATTGTCGTATTTTAGGCTTGTCTTAAGAAAAAGGCGCTTTTGAATTGTCAATTTTCAAACTAAAGCTTTAGATCTGTCTTTTTATCTTTTAAATTAGACAAATGCTGGTAGTTCCATGAAAGGAAAGAAAGATTAGTTTTGTTAAATAATTTATAATGCATTCAAGTATAAGAACACATGTCATATATTTGTATACCTTAATAAATGCCATGACGGACTAGTAAATTTTGAATAACTTTTCTTGCACAAAATTTTAGATTTTTTAAAAGCAGTAATTTTAGTGTTTGCTGTATAGTTACCCAATACCAGTTATTAGCAAAGGCCTTGAATAACAATGACACTTTTATTATACCTTGATCTTAGAGGGTAAAAGAAATTTAAATTCAAATGCTGAGTCATGAATATGAAACCTATCCACTAAAGATTTATTTTCACATAATCTCATTTAGTTTTAGTTATCACTTCATGGCAGGAATGCAACACATATAATATGAAAGCAATAAATTTTTTTGGATGCTTTTACCTAATGAGCCAGATAAATGTTCCAACATTGTGTTTTACCAAAATCACCTTTTCTTTGTTTTCTTGAATATGCAAGGTTAAGCTATGTTTGACATTGTTACACCCTTATATATATAATCACCTAATTAGCTAATCAACTGTGTTTATAGTGTGTTGTTATTCATATTCTAATGGCAGCAAACAACCTTCCCATTCGTGATGGATCTGTGATTTTTGTGAGGTATATGCAATGCTTTTACAATCATGCTGCACATTTAAACAGGTTTGCTTTCGATGGTTGCCAGGAATTCATTGCTGCCGGAGAGGTTGGAACACCTGAAGCTCTCATCTGCGGTGCCTGTGGGTGCTATAGAGGGTTCCATCAAATTTTTGAGTTCCAGGTACCAGCACCCCCTCCTCTTCCTCCACATGAAAACCCGGAGATTCAAATGCCAGCTGAGCCAGTTGTGGAGTTACAATTTGCTGAAGATGCACCTAATAGTCCTCCACCAGTTGAGGAAAGCTCTGAAGAAGAATCAAATGTAGGTGATCTTGAAGAGGGGAGCTTCAATAATTAACAAAGATTTGGATTGTTGCATTTGTCGATGATTTTCATTTAGTTTGTGATTTGAGTGTCAGACTCTCCCCTCTTCCCTTTTCCCCTTGCAGGACTTGGTTCTCCCTTGACCAAAAAAGTGATTAGCTCTAATTTTGGATGATAATACCATCATTGAATATCTTTGACAGCGTCTTTTATTCATATACCGATCTCCTTTTCGCTCATAAGAATTAGAGTCTCCCTTTGGGGGACAAAAAAAGCAGTTCTAAAAATTTGAATCATACATGGCATTGGATGTCTTCAAAAGAACTGTTCATTAACTTTACTTTTTTTTTTTTTTTTTTTACGGAAACGTTAGGAATTGTATTAGAAACAAAACAAGCTATACAACTTAAGCAACAACCCATACGGAGCTTTACAATAGTGTCCGTTGACACTGAGGACTTAGATATTCCTCATCTTGCACTAACTGATTACACTGATTGCCTACCAAGCTAAATGAGCAGTTCATAAACAAAGCTTTGAACATGTGAATGTCCTCCAGTTGAGCAGAGAGTCTGATATCTTGAGTCTTGTTGGTTCTCAAAGCTCGCAGCATCTGATTGGATGATACTAGCAAGTTAACCTGTGGCCAAGGCAGTTCTCTTATCTTGCACATCGTTAACTTTACTTGTTTAGTTGAGTTCTCGATTTACGATACTTGCAATATTAATTATGTTATTACAGACTTTGTCTTCCAGTGTTGTTTTAATAAATGAAGTACTTGTTATTCAATTTCTAGACAATAAAGTGGAATATGTACTCTTTAGAAATTGTATTCTTCTTAAATTTTGAATTTTAACCATGTGACAAATTTCATTTTGTACTCTTTAACTATACTCGAACTCTTGTTTTGATTCTTAAACTTTAAAAGTGGGATACTTTAGTTTCTGAAATATAAAATTTATTCCATTTTAGTCTCTATAGTATAATATTTGTCCCACTTTAGTTTCAAAATACAAAATTTCTCTCATCTTAGTCCCTAAAATATAGACTTTGTCCCTCTTCCACCAACAACCTTAGTTAAGTGGGATTGATTTTATATTTTAGGGACAAAAACATCCCATTTTAAAATTTATGGAGCAATGTAGGAATTTGAGTATAGTTGCAAGGTGCAAAGTGAAATAATTAGATGGGTTTTTCTGTCCTTATAGGTATACCAACCGCTCCTGATGGATCCATTACGGAATATGAAAAGTGGAGTGCATCATAGATACACAAAGAGAAACAACATTTGTTGATCCATTTTTGTTTCAACAAATGGCTTCAACGTTCCTAAATTCTAGAAAACTTTTTCACATAAAATTTTGACAAAACTTCCACTCTTAAGTACAAAAAATTATTCTTCAGAATCAAAATCGGTCCTAGAATATTTTTAGGTATACAATTCTTTCAAGGGTGGAGCAACTCTTTATCTGGCGGGGCAAGGATATCTATAGTTTTAGGTATACAGCTTTCTTGGTATTATATTTTAACCAGAAAAATTTGTACATACATATACCCTAATTGGCCAAAAGAAAAATGTTCGTGTTAGGTATTAGGTTATAGAAAAATTTCTACTTTATCCCAGATAATTAGTTGATAGTTATACAAAGTAATATAGAAATAACAGGTATCCAAACCGATTATGGCAAGTTAAATTCTCAAATAAATAAGTAATAAATCGATTCTTTAATCTAATATCCAACAGAACTAAAAATTGCAATGCATAGCCAAATACATTAGATAAGCAAACTGTAATAGTTGTTCAATAACGCTATCTCAAGTTAATAAAGAGCATCTTTAGTTTTAGATAGAGACGAATTCCCTTATGTTCATCATCGGACTGTAAGGGAATAGGTTCTTTAGGTTTTATTGCGCATGCTGTCTTGTTGATTATTGTTTTATCAACGTTTGTATTTCGATTTCTTTCTCCAACAAAACAGAGGTTGGCTCCTCCTCCCCGGGGTTGGAGATCTTTGCCAAAAAACAAAAAAGGTTAATAAAGAGCAGTGAAATGAAAATAATAAATGTGGTATTACATTGTGCATCTTTCAAATTTAGCTCAAGATCTACCCTCATCAACCATCCTTTTCTTAATGATCATTGAACTCCACACCTAGGAAATATTAATGTTAATGTGGGATGAGTAGTAAGAAGTTCTATAATTTTTTTATCCAACCTTATCGTCAATCATAGTATTTTAAAATGCGAACAAATTGTACAATGCGATATTTCTTCATGCTATAATGTAAGTTGTTTAGTCAAACGTTTAGTTACTAGATACAAAACATTGTAAAAATTTGAATGATACAAGGCTAATTTAGGTCCCAAAATCAAATTTCAGAAACATAAAACAAAAATAAGATAATTTTACGTAATATTGAAAAAGATTTAGAAAATGAGAAAGTTTAAAGATTTATAGGCACAAAAATCTTGTTAAAATCCTAATGTTCTATTATTTGTTGTATCTTTTCTTATCTTTCTTCTATCATTCAATTTCTTTTCATCTTCACTTCTTTTTTTATTCTACCCTTTCCAACTCTTCGGCCAATCTTCAACTTTTCAAATCATCTAATTTGTTCTCATGTTTATCTACTCTTAGATCAAAATCACATTTTATATTTTCCCTTTTTGTATTTGATATTTCGAAATTATGTTTCTTTCATATCATACCATGTCCAGATATGCCTCTAGGATGTTTCTTTCATTTCATACCATGCCCAGATATGCCTCTAGGATGCGCTTTTGCTCGCCAGAAGCCGTATCTCCTTCCCTACACTGAAACGTGCCACAATATAACGATAAAAAACAATGGTACTTCAAGACTTTTTCAACATGAAATATTCACCATCAGGGCATAACAGATACTAATGGGCATTAGAAAAAATTTAGGAGCTCAATTAGTCCAAGAAGATTTTAATTATCCATGTAATACCTCTATCATTTATTAATAAGAAATAAATTGAGGTTACTTTCCATATTCAGATTCATTCATGATGGTCCAAATTGATAGGAAAAAAGACTTCGTAGTTTATATTAATTATCAAAACTTGGGAAGCAAGACTTCAAGTCCTCGTACATTTTCTCTTTCTAAAATTCTCATGGAAAATACACACACACAAACACTCACTTACACACACATACATAGTGGATCTTGGTTACATCACTAGGGATTCAACATCCATTAGTTCTGCTGTAATGTGACAAGTGACTAATTTACGTTATATTTGAATAATATTTTATGTTATTTTTAATCACTTTGGCTATTGTAGAAAGAAAATAGATCATTTTGTCTATAATTAGTGTAAAATGCTCTTAAGTGATTAAATGAGGTTTTTTCACTTTTTACTTGTATTTTGTCCATAATTTATATAGAAGTTGGAAATATACTTCATTTGGATGAAAAGGAAAATTGATAGTTTTGACACATCTTCGTATTTCGGCCATAACTTGATCTACAATGATACGATTGAGATGATTCTTGAACCATTTTGAAGATAAGAGATAGACCTACAAATCATATGAAGACATCAAAATCTAGTTTGAAGGTTTTCTAGGTCAAAAAGCCGAATTACAATAGCCAATTTCTATTGGTCGAAGCTGAAACAAGGCATTCAGCAATCAAGGGTATTTCAGTCATTTCTCAACCTACACAAATCCAAATGAGGTGATCCTTGATGCATTGGAAAGCTAAGTCAAAGGGCTACAAGTTTTATGTTTCGGTCAAGAGTTAATTCAGCTTCTATCATCAAGAAAAGTTCAGTTGAAGTTGAGACAAAATTGGAGCAACATTGAAGACTAAACAGAAATTGCAAAGAAAGGCAGGGAGCAATCCGGCCATAATATGGCCGGATTCTGGTCAGAAATGGCTATTCTCCACTTGCATAACTTGTTTCCTTCTCCAATAATTCATAGCTATTGATGGACGTGTGACAACCACTTAGCAGCTGTAAAAGGGATGTTTTGAAGCCTCATTTCTTGACTAAACTCATCTTATATATAGCCATGGACTTGCAAGGATCACGAGAGTTTGGAGAGTGCAAGAATACCACAAAAATGTAGTTCTTACATTTTCTTAGTGTTAGATTAGTATAGTATAGAATAGTTTAACTAGTAGTTCATCATTCTTGTTTATTAGCTAGGCAAAGATGAAGAAGGAGATGAAGATGGAGGTGATGAACTCATGTGACAAGGGTTACATTTCCTTCCTAACTATTTATCTTTTGTACTTGATTCTAAGTTTAGTTAATATACAAGTTAGGGATTTATACGTTATTATGTGTTGCTAAAGTTTATGCCTTGGGTTTGGTTGAACTTTCTATGATTGGTAGTGTTTATTATTTGGCTATTTGATGTTATTATTTTGAACAAGTTATTTAGCACTTTAGCTCTTTAAATCATGATTAACTTAGTACCATTAATTGTGATTATCTAAAGGTGTTGTTTCTTCAATGAAAATTGAGATTTAACACTAGTTCAAGAAGTGCTAAACCTAGAGAGTACACTCACGAGAGTATAGGTGCACCTTTGTGGTTTTAGTGATTCATTTCATGTAATTTCATAGAAGAAATGAACTTGTAACTAATTTCATAACCACAAGAGTAGGTATGGATTAGTTATAAGTATAGTTGATTTACTACGAGAGTAGGTTTCACATGCATTAGGAAATTACGCCATAATTAGCCAAGATAGTAGTAATCAATGATCCAAAAATAGCATTTGCATGAGTAGTTATGAATACCATAACCTAAGGAGTTTTCATTTGTTATTATCTTGCATAAGTTTAGCATAGTTTTATCTCTTTTAATTCATTGATCGTCTAAATAATAGAGAAGGTTTAGTAGTGCCGGTAATTGTCCAATCTTCCTCGTGGGATCGACCCGATATTTACCATAAACTATTAATTTGACCTGTATACTTGCAGTCAAAACGGGTATATTTCAGAATTAAACTTGTACTTATATAAAATCCCGTCATAATGACATTGTAATTGTCCTA